TCACCTTCAAAAGAGAGGCTACAGCAGATGTCCCCATGTCCCCAAGCTAACATGGGGACCAAAGCGAACATCTTAACTTCAGAGGGGATTATAGCCCAATTTTCCTCAACCCAGTCTTCTGTTTAAAACCTCCTGCTATTCAACCTCAAAATACCAATGCAGAACTACCGCTCCCCCCCATCTGCACTGCAAACAGCATCCTAAGGAGCCTGCCACAGAAAAATGCAGCATGACATCTAACCACCCCTGCGGTGGGCTCGTGAGGGGCTGACTTCAACACTGACCTCGAGCTGTCCTGCCCTGTCCTCTGCCAAGAGCCAGGCTTTAGGCAGAGCCAGGGGAGATGCCGAGGCGGCCAGGCAAGAGCTCTGCCGAGGGGATGGCTGCCAGGGCTCGATGGTGGGGAAGGAACAGCTCTCTCCACTAATTTCAATATTGCTTTTCTCTGGGAGATTCACGGCCACCCTCACTTGCTGTCTCCTCCTGGGAAAGGGAGGTAGCCAGGCCCTGATGGATTTTTACACTGTCTAATCTGCCAGCAGATCCCATGAACACATCTTGGTCCTTGGGGTGTTATGGAGTAACAAGTGAGCATCCAAATTATAGCAAAGAAGCAAATACATCTACCAGAACACATAGCAAAGGTCAGCAGTGTTGCAAATGTTCGTCCTTCCTGGCTCATCCCTCTGTGAAATCACGGGCTGTGGGATGGTGTAACCCACAGCCCACCCAGCTACAGGACAGCCCAGGAGAGGGCAGGGCAGCATCTGCAGCAGACACTGGGCTTTGCTCTGGCATATCATCCCTGGAGAGCAAAGAGATTCCATCAGAAAGTGTTTTATTCTCTTTGGTTGCACTTCCATTAGACCTGGGCCACTTCTTATTGATCCACGTGGGAGGAGGAAGAAAAAGACATCAGCTCAGACTCTTGTCTTCATCTATTAAACCCCTCAGCAACCGGAGGGACAGGAGCATGGCAGCACCGAAATGGCTGAAGTGCAAAGCGATACACCGATGACTAGAAAGACACATGCCATCGCTCAAATCAAGTGTTGAGACCCACACATCACTGCGAGCGTGCTTCTGGGCTGGCAGTGTTTAGGGGCACCAAGCTCAGACAAGGCAGGCGTGTGCGAGTAGGAGCCCTCTGTAATCATCCTGCTTAAGCCACTTCAGTCACAGCACTGCTGTCCCCAGGGGACTGCGGCAATGTCACAAGCCAGACCCTGATAATAGCAACTGAACGAGCTGGTGGAGAAGGCCGATGAGAGATGATGTTATCTGGTCACGCCGTGGGGAGCCAACAACAACAAAAGGCTCAAGAGCTTGTACGGAGAAATGATGACAACAGGTGATAACACTGCACGTTTTTTTCAGAGGCTCTTAGTTTGATTAACAATAAACATTCAACCTCAATACTCCTCTGGCAAGGAGGAGTAAGGATATTATGACCGCACTATAGATGGGAAAATAGAAGACTATCATCAAAAGGAGAGCCTGGAGAAGAACCAAGAGCATGGCTCCCAGCTGTGCAGCACACAAACCGTGGTTTATTTGGACCTGTCCGACCTGGAGCACTGCGTAGCAGCCTGAAGACATAAGGCAGGCCAGGAAGCAGTCTCAGTTTCAAACCGAGAAGGTCCTACAAGCAAAAGGCATCACTCACCCAGTATGTGCCCACAAAGGAACAGCAGGAGATCACTTCATTAGAGTGCAGTCTATGCTACCAGTATCATTCCCCCAAGGGCTGAGATATCCAGCAATCACATACCGGCCTTAAGACACACATAGGCGACTCTCACTCATCAGACACCTTGCTCAACAGCTGGACTCAGCCCACGACGCTTGCTGCAACGACGTGGCATTTTCCTGTCTGAATTCTCCCAACGCCACTGCCTGTCGCGCACGGGATGCAATCTTAGCAAAGCAAAACAGTGAGATTTCCATGTGCCCGTGTCTTCGAGACAAAAGCCTGACTTGCCTTAGAACTCAGGAGTTATGGCAGCCTGTTGCCTCGGACGGGTCCAGCAAAGCCTTCCCAGCAGGATCAGCTCAAAGCATGGGCGCAGTCAGCACAGATGATGGATGATGCATCACCACTTCTGCTCAATCTGCTCCACAAACAGCCTGGAGTCCTAACTGATTTACAAACCAAACATGGAGTTCTCCTGTTGTCAGCATTAGAAAGCCATCAGAGTTACAAAGAAAAGCTTCATCCTAGTCTGTAAAAA